ACTGTTAACTTAAAAAAAAACTCCACCCTAAAAATTGTATCAGCTAGTCCTGGTCTCCCTTGTGTCAGAATAGGCGTTGACATGCTGTCGACAGACGCTAGAGTGAATGCCCTCCAGACTTCACTGATGTCTGAGGACTGCTGTTGAAATAGCGCGCGAGCTCAGCCTCATTCAGTTAAAAGTATTTGCCTTTTATTTAGTATTTGCGCTCTTTCATCATTTTTGAGCTGCACGTTTCATTCAGTCGTGATGTTGTGGATTGTGGTGTTGATGGGGCTGCTGGTTGTGGAGGGCTCTGCGGCTGCGCTGCCCAAGAACGGTAAGACATTTACAGCCTCTTTCTTTGCACGTGACACAAAGTAAAATATAATGAACTTAAGTAACTTACAGTGCTTTGGTGAGCGGAGTAGATGTGAACTTTTTGTACTTAGTATTTTTGAAAGTGAGCATTACAATCCACTGCTAAAAAATGACGTGCGAGTCAGCTGCTTAAGTTCACACTAAGCGCTTATATAGGCTACTAGTTCATTTGTAAATAACTCGCCATTTAATTTGGTGCACCATTACTTCTTAAGGCAATACTGCTTGGCCGGAAGTGTTCTGTAGTTGAAATATTATGTTGAAACTATGCACGAGCATTTATTAGCGTTTATACTAATGAATTGCATTTCAAAGACCATGCACAACTAATCATAAAAATCCCTTCTGAAAAAAAAAGATCAAAAACCAGGTTTGAAAAGCATCTAGCCTGAGCATTTCAGCAGGGATATTAGTATAATAATAATGTAAAATGAAAAATAGTTAAAATAAGGTACAGTAAATGAATAGCAATTCAACAAACTGTCAAATTTAACAGTAATTCGTTTTAATTTGTATTACTATTGAAACCATGTAGTGACCGAGAGTGGCAATGGATTACTTTGCCATTTTAAGGCCATGCATAAGTAGCCTAATTTCCTTCTGGAAATATATATATATATATATATATATATATATACATATATATATATTTCGAAAAATGAAGTATCTAGCCTGGCCAGGCAGAAAGACCAGATAAAACCAGTCTATGCTGGTTATGTATGTATTTATGTATGCTGGCGGGGGTATTAGTATTTTTAAATATATAATAAGAAATCATTATAATCAGGATTAATGTGACCATTTTTTACCAAACATTTTACACCTCAATAGTTTAATTTTGTACTTATTTTTCCAGAAACTTTTATTCGGACATTTTCTGGTTTCTTCCTCACCGTCACCGATGAGCCAATTGATTACCTGGACGTGCAAGTTGAGGGCAGCGGCTCCAGTCCGGATCAAGTATCCAAACTCAAGAAAGATCACCAACACCATGTGGCTAAAAAGACTTATCACATCTCCCCGGAGGCCTCCAGCTTCCTCACAGGCCGCGTGGTGACCGCTGTCATCCCAACAATATACATTGTGGTGTTTATCATCAGCTCTCCTCTAAATCTGCTGGCGCTGGTCATGTTTGTGCTCAAAGTGAGACCAAAAAAACCGGCGGCGATTTATATGATCAATCTGGCTTGCGCCGACCTTCTGTTCGTCCTGTTGCTCCCGTTTAAGATAGCCTACCATTACAACGGAAATAACTGGATATACGGGGCCGGCATGTGTCGTTTCGTCACGGCTGCTTTCTACTGCAACATGTACTGCTCTGTGCTGCTGATTATGTGCATTAGTGTGGACCGCTTTATGGCGGTCGTTTACCCGATGGAATCGCTCACCTGGCGCAGTCCGCAAAGCGCGTCCGTCGTGTGCGCCGCCATGTGGATTTTGTCCATCGGCGGTGTGACGCCTTTGCTGATTTCCAATCAAACCATTCACCTACCTGACCTGGGCATCACCACCTGTCACGACGTCCTTGACATCCACCACCTCCGCGAGTATTACCTGTACTTCTTCCCCATCATCTCTTCGCTTTTCTTCTTCATCCCGCTCATTTTTAGCACCGTCTGCTACGTGCGCATCATCCAAGCTTTGTGCGCGGCCAACGTGGAAAACCGCACGAAAAAAACGCGGGCCGTCTTTATGGCCGTAACGGTCTTTGCTGTTTTCCTCATATGCTTCGCGCCCACAAACATCATCCTGTTGGCGCATTACGTGCAGCTCGCTCACAAGCACAATGATGCGTCCTACGCCGCGTACTTGGTGTCCACGTGCATCGGGAGCGTCAGTTGCTGTCTGGACCCCCTCATGTACTACTTCGGGTCGTCTCAGTGCCAAAAACAGGTTCTCGCCGTTCTCAAGTGTCAGGGAGCGTCAGGCATCGAGAGAAGCGCACAGTTCACCAGCACCACCAGGTCAAGCAAGCTGGAGACTTTTAAAAGCAGCGTGAGCAGCCAGTACAGGAAGCTGCTGGCATGAGCTGCCTGCTGAAAACCAGGCTGGTTTTAAAGGGGGTTTGAGGGCTTTGCAGCTGGCCAGGGTGAGAGACCTTCTCAAACCAGCTGTAGCAGGTTTCCAATGACTTTAAATCGTTTACTTTATCGGGGCTGCGTTTCTCAAAAGCCTTGTAATCCAAAGTAGATCCCATTGCCACAAATGGTCTCTGCGATTAATTTAGCTTATGATGCTTTTGAGAAACGCAGTCCAGGTCCAGCTCATTTAGGATGGTTGGAGTTGATTACACTATCATTCATTGGAACTCTTGAATTATTATTATTCATAACATTTCCAAGAAGATCCAAATGACTCTGGCACTTCAACCGTTTCAATGCTTTTATAACATCTTTGCTAATAGATTCTTGCTTTATTTTTGTATTCATTTGTTACCATGTCAGATAGCTATATTCTTGCCAATAAACGCATATTTAAGTATCAGATACTTATTGTTTAGTAAACACAAAAATTGAAGTTGTATGTTACATTATTTCTGTTTACTGTAATTTACATGATAGTTTATGGGACCAGCTGGCTGGATTTTATGAAATTACTTGGTGAAAATTCTCTAAAACATTTACACCAGTTAACTATGGTTTTATCTTTAGATAGATGTTACAGTATATACAGTACACTACTGTTCAAAAGTCTGGAGTCAGAAAATTGATACTTTTATCCAGCAAGGATGCATTCAGTTGACAGTAATGACATTTATAATGTTACAAAATAAAGAAAATACTGTGATTTTGAATTTTCTATTCATCAAAGAATCCTGAAAAATGTGTTACAGTTTCCACGATGATACAAAGCAGCACAACTGTTTTCAGCATTGGTAATACTAAGATATGTTTCTCCAGCACCCAATCGGCAAATTAAAAATGATTTCTGAAGAATGACACTGAAGTTTCACAACATTTTTAAAATGATTTTAAATGAAATATTTCACAACCTTACTGTTTTTACATTATTTTGATCAAATAAATGCAGCCTTGGTGAGCATGAGAAACTTTTTAACAATTAAAAAATATTCCCGGTCCCAACCCTTTTAACGGTAGAGTGTAACGATGCAAATCGTTGTAATCGATGCTCCAAGTCTTATTTAACCAACCAACATAGCTGGTCACCAACATACAGTATTTTGTGCGTTGAACACTGAGATACAGGGCCTAAAACTAACTTTTTGCCACACCTGCCAATGGCTGGTGACATGATAAAAGCCATGAAACTGGTTTGCAACTTTTTGCAAAAACAGGCAGTTTTACTACTACAATAACTAAACATATTTACAATGTTTTTAATTTGTCCTGCTGGTGCATTTTCCCTCAATTTTCCCTATCAATTATAGCCATTCAACATTACAGTATAATTGAAAGCCATTATTTTTAACATTTAATAGGCTCTGAAACATATAACTTTTAATTTAAGTGATTTTAAAACAATCTTCACATAAACTTTATTATATATGCATAAACTATACATATAAATCTTTATTCAAGCTATACAATTTAATCAGCGACTAGAACAGTCCAAGGACTTCTCTTTTTCTTTTGTTCTTTGATATACATCAATGACAGACTTCAGCAGTTTTCACTTTAAAATCAGTGCCGTCTCTTTAAAACCTGATGCATATGACGCGGATCTGACACATATCCGATTTTCTCCCAACTCATTACGGTCATTTATAACTAATTTAAAGGGGTTATAGGATGCTACATGCACTTTTACAAGTTGTTTGAACTGAAATGTGTGTTGGTAGTGTGTGTACACAACCACCCTATAATGATCAAAAGCCACCCAGTGTCTTTTTTTTAAATCTCCTTAAATGTTTTCCCCTTTCTCAAATCGAGCCGAGCTCAGATGCCTGTCTGTGTGACGTCACAAAAACAGGCCCCTCCCACGATAGTTTGATTGATCATTAAGACCCTAAAGAATCATAACTTGTGGAAAATGGGCATCCTATGACCCCTTTAAGACTCCGTTTACAATGTAACTCGCCAAAACCGCGCATTTTGACATAATTGTGTGTTTTCGTGCGTTGAAGCGCTACTAGTGAGCTGTCTGAAGCGATGTTGTTTTTACTTCATTGCATTGTTATAATTTGTAAAAGTTGTACCCGCCAACTGGCGACTGACATTGTTACATGGACTCGCCAACGCTGATTTTTACTCGCATTTGGCGCTTGGCAAGTGTTAATTTTAGGCCCTGTATATATATATATATATATATGTTCAGATGCAAAAGCCTCTAAGTACGTTTGACATTTTTCTTTAAAATGAGCATTTCTTTCTGGCTACTATCTATAGGTTTCTATGCAAATACTGGTACTTCTGAATGGGTTAAGGCTGGGATTTAGCACATTTGAAGTGAAAGTACTTGATGAACATGTACTATATGAACATATACTACATATATATATATATATTGGTTTGTCATTTAACCAGAGACCTGATCAAATTTCATATCTAGCAAGAATATTAGTCGACTTATCTACCCAGCAAGAATGTACCAGCATAAACCAGCAGGACTAATTGACGGTGGCTTGTGCTTTTTTTCCCCAAGAAAGGTTACATACACAAAAACAACTACAAATGGTGAAAATGATTTTTATATCAGCATATCCAAATTCTTCACAGATAGCTGTATTTACAAGAACAAATCCAACGTGACAAGAAATCTTGAGGTCAGTCCTAAAAATTGCAGGTTAATCCATTACATTTAGGGATATACTGTACATTTGTCTTATTTCAAAGCACAACTGAAATTAAGCCAACATTTGGTTTGCCTAAACAATGTGTTTGATAAAGGGTGCTTTTGTCAGTAATCGTCGTCTGATCAAATCCTCGTTTAAATTTGAAAATAATGCATTTAACGAAGGCCTTGAAATATCAAGTTTAGTTCACTCAACAACAAAAATATTTTTTTCTGCAGTTCAATCATAACGGTGTAATTGTGTGATTTATGCTGCATCTAAAAGTAGAGGAAATCATTGAAGGAACTGCTGTATGGGATACTGAGGGCTTCTTGGTATTAGCTATGCTGCATAGGACAGGAAAAAAAAAAGCTTTTACATAAGAAAGGTACATAGAAAAACTTGTGGAAAGTTTCAAGAATTCAAAAATGGATTGAGCCCTGTGTGAATCCAAACAGGAGACAGGACATATTAACCATGGAATGACAAAAAATGGTGAAAAGGCTTCTTCTAGGTGTCTTCAGCTTCTTTTCATGGCTTGCTTAAGTTTATTCAGATTTGGTGTAGGATGACGTCACTGAAATTCACAATAGTTCACCAAAGACAAAATGAATAGAAAACCAAAGAGAATCTCGGTTGGGAGAAGATTCTGTTTTTTTTGCTGAACACGGTGAAAACTTAACTCCTGTGCTGTCCTCTCACACGCTCATTGTAATGTTTGGAGAATACTGCAAGACAGGAAGGTAGTTTAAATGTCAGCTGCTGCCGTATTTAACACAAATGATCCTATAGAAAAGGCTTTCTGCATACATACGCTTTCACTCTGAAATGGGTTGAGGAAGTTGCCACTCATTTCTCCATCATCTCTTGGTGTGCCAGGCTGATTATTCATGCTGAGGTTTACTGGTGAGCTCTGATGAAAGTGAAAATTGAGTTTAAGGACAGAAACCAAAAATGAATTTCAGAGAAATGGCCGTCACTGTTTAAATGTCTGTCGAAGGGGTATGGAAATGTCCCCTACCTTTGGGAGGCTTTCAATGTCACCAGATCCTGCTGTTGAATGGAGGGAAAAGGAAAAGACTTCAGAGTATTCAATGAAAAGTAGTAAAGGTGAGAATGTGCAAATGGATGGAATATATATGTTTGGCATTGTCTGTTAAATCTGTCTTACCTAATGAACCATTCAAATGATGAGGCTCCATGCTTGCCATGCTGCCTATTGGGCCATCAGGACCTGAACCCAATGGAAACTGAAAGGAAAAATACCGTAAGAAAAAACAAATATACTTTATATGTTCTTACTTAAAAATCGCCAAGACTCACATTTGGTCTGTTTCCATTTGGAGGGACTGAGCTGATCAAGCTGTACACGTTGTCACTCGAGTTGTTTGACTCTAAATCAATATTGTACATCACACATTAGTTGTTCATTTTTAGCTAAAGTCAAAATAAATGACTTGGTATGGGTAAAGAATGAATTGTGTCTCACTCCGCACAGCACACAGATACTGGGTTCAATTACATTTTTTATCCATATTTTAAATATATGAAGTATATCGAAATACTGATAAAAAGTACTGAATGAAATATTAGTCTATTTATAAACTTGCCTCATTCAAGAAGAATATGTGATGCTGCCTTTTTAGAATTTGATCTAATCGACATACTGTATGTTAGAAGGCTTTTCAGAGCAGTCTTTGTTTTCCTATGATGCCTTAAAATGTCTACAGGCCTTCAGTGGATTTGAAGTAGTTAGTATTGTGCTGACTGATCCAGGATCTGTTACCTGTGGGACTGGGCATGATGGATGTACCTGGAGGGCCACCTCCTGCTGGGGGACCCTGCAAACACACTGATTCTGCTTATTCAAATGACCAGAGTATGTTACCCAATGTTACCTCAGACAAGGTAATGACAAAAAAAAAAAACCTTAGACACCATTACATTACCTACCAAATAACTGCCTGGAGATGCAGATGAATAAGGGATCTGCGGGGAGAAAGTACTGGTATTTATATTGTTTAGGATATAAGACTTTTGATCAGTTATCACAAGCCATGTTGAGAACAAACCGAAATGTTATTTGGAGGATTTGGCCATGGTCTTCCTCCTGCAGGACCCCTTTACACAACAGTATACAAATATACAGTGTTATACAATTTATACAGTAGTACAACAGCGATTCTGACTTAAAGGGATAGTCCACCCAAAAATGAAAACATGAAAGAAGAATACAATTACATGTTAATCGCAGGCATCCCGGGTCCCACTAGGGCATTTAGGGGAGGTCTCATCCCACCACCATAGTTCTGGAACACCAATTATACCCAATAACACATCACAGTAAAGTTTGTGAACACTGTAACATGCTTATACAACTTTACTTAATTATCCATGGATAACTCACCTGTGGTCCAATAGGAACCATTCCTCGAGGGGTCATCCGCTGCATGGGCCCACTCATGTTGGGATGGCCTTACAAATGGGAAAAGCAAGCAAATGTAACTGAGGCCAGCTGGTAAGAACTGTGCAGGTAAACCTCACTCCCCTGATCTCAAGAGGAGCACTAGTTACTGACGCTAGAGGCTGTGGTTTTTAGCGTCCATGTTAGCTTTTTCACCTCCTACTCCGGTGACCAGGGTTCGAGTCCCGCTTGGAGCGGGGCGGTTTAGACCAGAGTGATGTATTCATAATTTGATGTATTATTATGGCTGTTTGCAGAATCTACACACTTTCTTTTCACAATTTCTATAGATTTGGGAGGATATCTGTCAATTTTGTTGGATGGAAACTTAATAATAAAATTATCCAAAGTATTTAATAAAGAAACACACAAAGGGCAGGTGGTGGTGAGTTGTAGAAGTGTCTGTGTGGACTTTATCATATTGCAAGTATTGCCATATTTACAGAGTTGTTTGTATTTTAAATACCTGGCTGCCTTGTAGGATCCATCCCACTGGGTAGGAGCGTTTGGTTCCCAGGCCCCAAAGCCTGTTCAAAACAAACCAGATTGAAGTATCAGCTATTATCATGCACTGAATGAAAACTTTAGATCCCGAAAGCAGAATATATGAGTGAAAATACCTGATTGGGTATTCTGAGAGAACCTCTGGGCCCACCTGGGTATCGAGGAGACATAAACTGCTGAGGAAACACAAGAACAGAGAACAATTGATCAATTCAATCCAAATCACACAGCAATTTTCATGTTTCACCCAGCAGGCAAACCAGAGCAACTGAGTGCTACCATAAATCACACCACCAGATGGCAACACTGCATTTGTTTTTTAAATCTGCAATTCAGTCTCAGATTAGGTGTTTAACTTCAATGCTGAAGTCAAATGATCTGGGTTAAACTTTATTATCAATATATGTGGCGTTAATTAATCACTCAATGTAAAAACAGGAAAAGCATGTTTACAGTAATGCAATTTCCAGTAGTCTTTTGAGTGACTGTACAGAATCTCTTTCCTCAAAGTCACCATGAAATCAAAAAATGACCCTATTTGCTTTTTAAATGCATATTCTTGGTCTTATTTGAATGCAGGGACATAAACCACCATAGACATTGAGGGGGACAAGTGCCTCCAATATATAGAAATGCCCAAATTGTCCACCCCAGTGCTTGAATTGATTCTTGCAGTGCTCTGCTGCACTCCTTTACGCAGCACTCTGTTTGTTAGGATGACAAAAATATTTAAAATTGACGTCTTTAGGCTGGTCTGCCTCTGCGGTCTAACAGCGCTGGTCAATGTCAAAATGATCAGATCAAAGTAAGCCGAGTTACAGTGGGGCAAAAAAGTATTTAGTCAGCCACCAATTGTGCAAGTTCTCCCACTTAAAAAGATGAGAGAGGCCTGTAATTTTCATCATAGGTATACCTCACAGCAGCAGAGTGTGAATTATAGCATAACGTTTCAGTTTTAACGTTGACAAAGAGTGAGGTACTATGGAAGTAGCAAAACTTTTAATATTTGACAACTGCTTTATGAGGTCCACTGCTTTATAAGGTCCACATTTCTGGTAAGCAGAGATGGGCACAAATACTGTACATGAAAATGTATTTAAAAATACAAATACAAAATACAGAGTGGAAAAATGTATTTAAATACAAATACAAAATACTGTGTGGAAAAATGTACTTAAATGCAAATTACATTAGATTTAGAAGGCTTTAAAATACAAAAAAGTATTTTGCATTTCAAATACGTATTTTAAATACATGTATCTGAAATACTGCCCATCCCTGCTGGCAAGTAATGCCAACTTTCCATCATCAAATCAAATCCCAATGAATAACTATAATGTTTTACTGGTAAATACATCAAACAATGGATGTTAAATGGGTTGCAAACAGCAATTCACATTGACTTCAATATAAAGGAAAGTGCTGTATTTCAACAGATGTATGGTGAACCATGATATATTTGTGAAGTTCAAAGCAGATATCTCAGCGGGCTGGTTAAAATAAAACTGGATCAAACTGCGTGAGTTAGAGAGGAGAACTTAAGAAAGGATTGTTAGAGCTGACGGCTGGATTCTTTGGGAATCTGAGTTTAAGACTATCAATGAGCGATTGTCAATACACATCAGGCAGGACAGCAGCTCTCAGACTGCCTGCTGACAGTTAATCGATGTATGTTCTGGTGCATTATCACTGATGTACACACAGCCCAACATTTATGCATTTGAAATCCTCCTTAAAAAACACACATTATAACAGATAATTAAACAAATAATTGAAAAGACACACATATTTTCTTTCCAATTAAAAAATGAAAATATGGAAATCCTTGCATAATTTGCTGTTTCAGACATCCACACATAATGTCTGAATAAATATTTAATTGCTCTTTAATTGCATTCATAATCTATCCTGACTCAGCACTGTCTCGGTTCAACTGTCAATCACAGAGGTAGAAAATAATTTCTCTATTCACACTGACATTATCTGAATTTATTGTTTCCATGCCACTCTTTTGTTGTGTTTCAGACATAAAAAAGCACTGTCATTCAATGACAATTCAAAAAAATTCTAATTCAATTTAAAAAAAAAATCTGAAATTCTGATGTTTATCAAATTAGATTAGTGAGCTGTGTGAACAAAGCCTAATGTCTCAATGCAATACGTCTAATATGTGTGTACCTGAAAAAATCCCGGGGGCAAAGGCATACCATCTCCAGGAGGACTTCCAATCACCGGACTCTGTGTCGCTGCTGCACTCTACAGGACACACACATACACAAAACTCAGATGAAATATCCTTATATAGCCTCTAAGAAAAACAACATAAAGGACACAGGAAGATTGTGAAAGAGGAGTCGGATGTTACATATCACGCTACATATCGCTTTGATAAAAACATGTATGTTATAAATAACCTGAAAATGAATGGACATTTTGAAGTAATAAACCAGCAGCAGAAATTACTTTCAAAATCAGCACTGTATAAAAATTGCTGCTCTTTTTTATGGCCAGACAAATGACTGTACCCTGCAAAGTCACATGCAAAAGTCACACTGTGAACACATTAAGCATGAAGAGCATAATGTATTTCTAAAAGACACTTATATTTGCAGCAGAGGTGACTACAGAGAGGGAGGTCATTAAACAGCCATCAGTACATAGATGTAACAGCTTCACCCCATGTCTGATATCACCTGCTCTAGCAATAACATGCACACACAAACACACAAATCTAAAGCTTGAACAATGAGATGAAATATGAAGCAGTGGGAAGACATAGACACTGAGAAGTTGCACCTTCTGGCAAACACATTTTGTCCACTGAATAATTAACAGCACTAGTGTTGATGTACTACAATTTCTCTGGGGGTTTAGGCTTTCTACTCATTGGAAATGGAAGAGAAGCAACTGTTTTCCCCTGTTTGCCCATACATACACTCACATCAGTTACCTGACCATACTAGACCACACCAAGTGCCATGTACCCAAGTAGTTAATAATGGCCGACCAATCATTATGTATTTCATCCCAAAAACCAAAAGAAAAGAAAAAAACACGAGGGAAAATTATGATTCACACAGTCAACATTTTAGGGACAGAGTCAGACACTACACCAGCATATTCAAGCGCAATGAAAATTATTTTAAATTACATTTTTTAACGTATCTTTTCTTACTTTGTAAAGAAACAGCTGTACTATATACAGTACATAGCCAACAGAGTTGGGTATAACGCGTTACTGTAATCTAATTACTTTTTCTAGTAACGCAGTAATGTAACGCATTAAATTTGTGTAATTTGTGTACAGTTACTAAAGTCAATATAATTACATTACTTACGTTACAAATGTAGTGTTAAGAAAAAAAATATTGATATGCCTTTTAAAATCACGTTTTGCACGGGGTTGACAGAGGCGCTGGCGTGATCACTTGCATTTTTTCCTGATAACAGCGAAAATAACTTAAAATGCTCCGCCATTTTTGATCGCACATATAAGTGTAATACATCATTTGAATCTGTGGTCTACTTTTGTGTACACTCACAATATCAACAAAAGATTGTGCTTTTGTAAAACAAAGAAAACAAACAGGGTGTGCTTTCAGCTGTCTCAGTCTCCGCGAAATTCTTTCTGAAACGCATCACTAAAATGAACCAAAACTCAGTGAATACTTCACACACAGATGTGAGAAACATATCTATGGAAAGCTTGAAGTGTCTACTTTTAAATGAAGTAAGTCTTGTCTAAAACAACCGTATATTTCCGTATGAAACCAACACGAGGTCCAGTCTTTCCCGTCTGAGCTCATTATCTGAGACGCGCGAGCCTGTAAATGCCCACATCACTTCCATAAACAAAGCAGCAAGATTAATTTTTAGCATTCAAATATGCATTGTATGTTCATCAATACTGTTTTCAAATGTTATCAGAACCGTTTTCAATTTAAGTTTTTTTTAATGCTCACACAGTTAAACGCAGTTAAGCCAGCATACACATAGCCTATACCCTACACTCAGCAAGCAATGTTGTATATAAAACACTGTATATCCTCCAGTGGCTGGCTGGGTAGAGAGACTCATTTCTCTACTCATTAGAGAAACGTGGGTAGAATGGCAAGTCCCCTCATCTAGACTTTCTCATCAGCTGTATCAGGACAACATCCCTATTGCTCACACTCAGAGAGAGAAATAAATCTACTCGGATCAAACGAGAGAAACAGAAAACATTAGATCCAGGTTGTAAAAAACGTACATGGGGGATGAATGATGCAAAGGAAAACTGGAATTCACAATGGAACATAAACCAAAGTGTAGAGAAGGAAGACAGTAAGGGCTAGTTTCAAATGGGGATAGCAGCGAACCAGGTGTGTCGGCCAGAACATGACAGAGGGGAAAGTAATTCACTTGAACTGATTTATTATGGCAAATAAGTTCATATAAGCATCAAAGGGGAAAGCCAACCATTAACATGCGCCTAATAAACATATACTGCAACGCCCAGTAATTTTCAAGTAGCCTACAGTAATGTGCAATTATGAGCGATAGAGAATAAGTTGGGCCTCCTGAAGTAGAATCAAGGGAAGTATGATGGGTACGAACAGTCGTTGGTCTGAACCCTTAAGATGGCTGTGAGCGAGCAAGCAATAACTGATGGAGGTGCTGGACCACGTGAAGCACAGGTGCTTTTATGATATGGGGCAATGTTCTTCCTTGAATGAGTTCTATGCTGAGTCTTGGTCAGATGAGAGTGTAACATAGGAATTCTGCAGGTATAGTTGTGTGGTTTTCCTGTAACTGACAAAGAGCAGTGCTCTAACAACAGCAATCACTGTAACACATCACCATATTTGCACTTTTACATATTATCACAGCATTAACATACAAATGATAGGTTCTTCCCTATAGTAACAGCAATAGGCTGGTAACAGCAATACTACTCGTCTCCAGCACCCATGCATATAACGAACTAGGGGTGTGTGATATCACGATTTTTGATTGTGGACAATTAAAATGTCTCCACGTTCTGCTTTTGAAGAAATATTGTGGTATTGTGCTACAGTGCACATTCTATCTGTTGCAGTTCTGGCGCCTCCATCTCAATATACTTTACAATGTGACATACATTCACATCAAATGTTAACTCAGCGGTAGTTACACTCACAGGACACTGCACTTCACAATCACAAAAGTACCTTACTTGCATGTGCTTGCCTTGCAGATTTAACATTTCATTCGCGTGCTGTTCTGACAGGCGCTTTTTCTGAGCACATACATCTGAAGCGTGCGTACACTAAAAGTTATCTTTCGTGTCTGATTGCGCTAATACTGTCAAAAACACACAATGTTTACATATTAACACAGTTGGTTACGTCTAAAGTAAACAGTTGAGAGAAAAACAGATGCATGCCTGTATATTAGATGCGTGCAGGTCTTAAAGTGACAGCAGACTGATAGTACTAAACATGCTGCTAATTGTCATTAAAGAGATAGTTCACCCAAATATAAAATTCTGTTGTTATTTACTCACTCTAATGTTGTCCCAAACCTGTATTAATTTCTTTCTTGTGCTGAACACAAAAGAAGATATGTGGGTAACCAAATAGTTGCTGGTCCCCACTGACTTTGATAATAGGGGGAAAAAAATATACTATGGAAGTCACTGGGGTCCACATTCTTCAAAATAACTTTTATGTTCAACATAACAAAGAAACTCATTCAGGTTTAAAACAACTTGAGAGTGAGTAAATGATAACAGATAAAATAATGACAAAAATGTTTTATCTTCGCCCACTTTTGCCTAAATATCTGCCATTCTTTTTTATTTTATATTTTGTTACCTTGTAAGGCTTTGTTTTTAAAATAGGGAAATTAGATTGGCTGTACTGCTCAGACAACTTGGAAAATAGTAAAACCAACATGACAAAGAATCGTGAATCGTGATTTTCCTGAAAAAAAAAATCGTGATATTATATTTTTGCATCAACGCATCAGAACGCATCAGCCATATGTTATTGGCTGATGCAATATGCTGTTTTCCTTGTGCTGAATCGCTCCGTTTATGAGCTCATGTGCACGATGCTCTTTCATAATAAAAGTCCCCGAGCGAGGGTTAGCGCTACAGCACTCTTAACTCTTCTTATTTGCCTTTTGCACACAAAGAGTGCAGTACATTCCCCACGCACCACTGAACTCTGACCCTCTGACGGACTCTCCCACTCCCCCCTCCCAAATACACACACACAGTCACTTTAATCAGTGTAAATAAGCTCTTTTTGCACTACAAATCATTATATCTGCACTGTTGTTTACTTCACTGGTTTGCACTCTATCTGCCGTGTGCTGCTTTATATATATATATATATATTTTTTTTTAATATATATTTTTTTACATTTTACCTTATTTGTATATTTGTATAGTTGTATTTTATATTTAATCTGTATATCTGTATTTATGTTCTACTGTTAGTGTTATCTGTATGCACCAAGGGTCTGAGAGTAACGCAATTTCAATTCTCTGTGTGTATGTGCTGTACATGTGGAAGAATTGACAATAAAGCAGACTTGACTTGACTTGACTTGACATGTAACTAACCAAACAATCCAAAGTTAACTTGAGAGAGATTGAGATATTCATCTATTGAAATACAAAAACATCAAATTCACACACAGAAATTCATCCAAAATACAAGCACCATTTATAACTAAGGAAATCACATTTAATCAAATATTTTGACTGACCTATTTTGCTCTCATTCTCACATCTCACATGTGACTTGTTACATAAGCTCCACTGAGAGAAAACAGAAATAGTGACAGTTGAAGCTGAGCCATGTGTATAGGATGGTAAGATTAGACTTTAAAGCCAGCCGAGAACACAGACAGACCAATATAACAACAGGAAATATACCAGTGATCCAGACAGGAAGGAAGACTCTGCCCTCCTCTATTAATCTCTCTCTCCCTCCCTCCCCACATCTATTCATCCCCTGTCATGCCATTTGACACTTCCTGTGCATACCAAATAGAAATGCAGAAAAGTTTTACAAAACCAAACAAAAAATAATTATGTGGATTTATAGGTAGAAAGTAATGTACTTTCTATCATATATAGTCCTAAATAGAATGTGGGACTTTACTGACAGGATGTGAATCTGTTGTAATTTGTGGTGGGGATATTTCAGCTTCTCTTTCTTTATCAGGGTTTCTGCAGGATTTTTAAGCTCAAATTTAAGACTTTTAAAGACCTTTTTTAAGACTTG